CATCTTCTAGCAAACAAGATAAAATGGAGGCTTGATTGTTATATTAGCCTAGGTCTCGTTGTTTTCCAGACCGTGACTGTGGTAGCGCCGCCACCCCTACATCCTCCTTGATTTATTTATTTATTTACTTATTTATTAACACGTCACAAGGATGTGTCCACAAACGGTGAATTGAAAAATAAAAACGAAACATGAAGCACGCCAGGTTCACGCAAAGCATCAATCATATCAATAAGGATGTACGGAGTAACTTCACGCAGCGATGAAGGAAGGAATTAGAAAAGCATGCATCCTTTACAGTAATCGACTTTGCTGACTGTTCATTTCTAGAAAACGAAAATGTCATTGTTTCAGCTGCTACTTCCTCTAATCAGTATTTGCTTGGTGACGAGTGCACCTGCAAGTGATCGTGTGGTCAATCTACCATCTTTGGAGTTCTCGCCTAATTTCTCCAGTTACTCAGGCTACCTTGAGGCGTCAACTAGCGACCAGTTCCATTATTGGTAGGTGGGCTCAATCATTGAATTTCTATCCGTTCGAACAAGAGATACCGTGTACAATGCCCTTCCTGTTCTTTAAAAATCTTTTAGCAGAATTATGACAGGTGGGCAATTTGCGACGAATTTTTCAGTCGCAAACCATCCTGTCCTCACAGCCCTATTGGAAGTATATAAAATAAAATGATTGAGCAGTGGGCTCGTCTCTCTCTGGCGAGTCTACGGTGTCTGGAGCGATAATTTTTCATGGACCTGCCACCCAGGTGAATATCGGTCGAGGAAATCCTCGACAGGGGGTCGTATTTGTCGGGGTGGGTCATGGGGGTCGTACTCTTGGGGGTCAGTAACGTCAGTGGCATCGTGGTGCAGATGGGAGGGAGAGGGTGTAGCGCAGCAGAGAGCATGATATACGTTCCTTGCGAGTTCAGTCGCTCCGTCTTCTCCCTTTGAGAAGGAAGTATTCAAAAGTACTACAAAAATGAAAGTGCATCTTTGCAAGGAACAGGTCACATGTGCACACGCGCTGCAAAGGCACCTCCTCTATCTACCGCCCGCTCCCTCGCCCTTAATACCTCGTTGAGAATGACACTGTTGTTAGGGAGCTGTCGCAAAAACGGCAAGAGTTCTGGAAAGACCTGGGCAAATGAAGCTGTTCCTTAGGTTACAGGAGTTACGAAATGTGTTTACTACAATACAGTTTCTGTCAACAGGTCATCATATGTGTAACACCTTTCAATAGATTCTACAACTTGAGTGGAGGTCGGATGCATGGCCTATACTGAGACGAGATCGGACGATGACGATTGCCCTTTTCTTGTCGCTTACGTTGGGAGAAGTTATTCTAGGCACATTTCGAGGGTTGCTAGCGAATTAAGTCGCAAAAACTCGCATGAAAAACTCTAGCATCCTCGACGCTCCCTAGACAAGATTTGAGAGACCTTATCTCTTCGAGTGTAAAGCTTTTAGATCAATTTTTATTGCCCGGTAGTAGCAAATCCAGCTCTATCTAACCCTGTCACAAACTGCCCCAAAACTTATGAAGTGGGGAAATGGAACCTTTTCATCGAGAGTGTAGATTTC